GCACTGAATTAACCCTCTTCTGCACTGAGTTACCTGAAGACTGCATTTATCTGAACCAATCAGACCTGAGTCATTTTTCCATGTATGTTATTATAATTTAAATTATCTCAGTTACATAAATTCTACCTAATTAACAAAAGTAAATAATCAGAAAAAAACATAAGAAATGCAAAAGTACTTTAAATAAAAAAAAAGTGTGTAGTGATGCGGGAAAGAAGAAAAAGCCTTGGAGATGGCCACTACCACGATAAAATTATTGAGGATTATCGAGTAGAATATATTCACTTAAAGTAACTTAGAAATGGTGTAATGTTGCAGAAACTAACCTATTTATTTCTGATACTTGTATTTGGTTACAAAGGAGAAACTGCTTTAACTCTTTTTTTAAAATTGATTAAAAGACATACAATCCGGCTTAACTGGAATCACTTCCCAAATTTCTTGAGGTGAGTATCTTAAATCTTGTAAAGGTATAATTTTGTTGTGGAAAGCAGGTTTTGCCTAGAAGCCTTACGTTTTTTGCTTTTTACAAGACAAAGAATAAACCTGATTGTACCCGAATGCGTCGATATGTTAAACGAAAAGCTGTCTTTGGCCTATGATCGAGAGAAAAAGTATATGCATGAATTGGGCGTGTTTTTTGCCTTTTTCATGGGTTTTTTTTAAATATGTTTTTAATTAAAGTTAAAATAATTATTTGGAAACATTGGATATATAAACCGCAGTTACTAACCTTGAGTTGAAACTGGAATTAAAAGCATCCATGCCTTCCAAGCCCCAAAGAAAGCAGCTGCCAAAGCGAAAGAAGAGCGTGCTCGCATTCTAACAGGTATAATTTTAAACTCTTCTCTTGCACTTCAGTATCTCAAAGCAATTTATTTCGTATTTCTCTGTTCCTGACACAAGAATTGTTCTTGTTCACTATACCTTTAAATCTCTACAATTAATATTTCATCACCTCGTGATCATGGAAACCTTGACAGCTTCTGTGATGAAAATATAAACAGAAAGTTAATCTAACGGATGCTACCTCAACCCTTTAACTCCCATTATTCAGTAGACAGGTAATGAGAATATTCAAACTTACAGGTAGAAGCTGCTATCTTGATCTAGCACCAAGTTCTCATAACTAATTTACGAGAATATTTGTAGCAGCTAGAAGGGAGAATTAACAATCAGATCTTGGGAGTTAAAGGGCTACGAAAAAAAGTCATGCTAATGACAAAGACTAGCTAGCATGTATTACAACGGGCTCCTCCTGTTTGCATGTGCGACCTCTCTAAAGGCGACTCTCGAAAATAAATATTTTGTCTCTCTTAGAAAAGCATGCAGGGTCTCATTATAAACAACGCCAACATGGATAAATAATTAATCAGACCATGAATTCGTGTTTTCACATAAACAGTATCGTGTAATATTTTACACAGCAGGAATAAACTGTTTTTTCACTCTCTTCAAGTGACTTATGTCATCACTTAAGTGTTTAAAAGATTTCTCACAACACCCACCAACGACGGCAGATGTTATACTCTTACGACGAATTTTATAAATAACTTAAAGTTGAAAAGCATTCGCACAAGGAGTGACCGTAAGGCCGTTGAAGCTTGTTCCAAATAACAACTAACTGCGGAGAAAACCACGCTGCTGCGACAGATTTGTCAGCTCTTAGAGGTTTCGGGATCTGTGACAGCAAAATAGTCAAGGGACACCTCAGAGCAAACAGACCAGGACTTTTTTAACGTAGAGTGTAGTATCCTTGAACGTCACAAAGAGTACAGTCTCAAGTTTAACAAGAGCTCTCTCTAGATTTTAATCATCAACTTACACTGAGTTACATTTAAGCCTAAACGACAACTCAAAAGAATTAGGTTACGTTATCAACGTCTAACTTTTAATGAATTATCCAATACATTTCAACAAGGTTAATTGCTTACATAACACCACCGATGTGCAACAACCATAAAAAACACTTTAACAGGTAACAGGTTGAACGCTATCTAAGTTGTGATCTGAAATCGATTGGTAACGTCTTCTCGCAACAGGTACAAGCTGATGAACCGAAACAATACTGATAGTTCAACAAAACAACCTCTACATTGGATTTTCCAAAATTTTAATCAGTTATAGCGGGTAATCAAAACAAATCTCGCTTTATTGAATTTTTTCTCCTCGCACAGGTCGAAAAGAATACTTCAGCGCAACTTTGTGTTTACGATACAACTTACCGAGGAAAATGCGCAAAATTTTTGTTTCTTTGTTATACTTGCATCTGCAGAAGGCTGACCATTGCTTTATATTTCTTGACTAAACACGTATTTTGATAAAATTTTAATAGATTAGACCAAATACTTTACTCAAGCTTAGAAGTAGCTCAACGAGTTTGTATTTATTTGAGAATGAACTGTAGCAGTAGTTCCATTTCATAATAACATCTTTGAGATTGTCCTTCTCAAAACACGAGACAGGTGTTAAATTAGTCGTCAAAGGAATAACATCTTAAAAGTTTCCGGCTTATGTTAACGTTTTAAATTTTCTCCAAATAAAGCAGCCTCCTTTTGGTTACACCAGTAGCTACATATATAATCTCAATTTTACGTGCAGACTGAGTTCCTGTATTCAAATGTTGATTTTTACTTAAATACTTTTTATTTTTAACGCTTCAAGTATCATGTAAGATAAGATAAGTCAACTTATACACCCTAACATCAGTAGCCATATTCTCCATACTGTTCTTCATATATTTCCTAAGGTGCCGACAAGGAGAATTTTTCTAACAAGCAAGAGCTTTAGTTGATGATCATTTCCTTTATTCTCATGAACTATAATGTGATTTAGGGGTGATAGTGTAAGGAGAAATAAGATGCATCTTATTCTTAGGGGTCAAGGGTTAATTTGCTTATTTACTACTTGAATTATGACTAACTATTGTCTCCTGATCCAAGAAACTATCCTTTTTTTTTTAAGAAAGTCAAGAATTTGAAATGTCCTAAGATTTGAATCAGTTGTTCTCAAGTTTCATCGGTCTGTCAGACGGCTCCTCTGTGTCCAGAGAGGAAGCATCTGTGTAAAAAGTGGAATAAATACAAGATTTTCATTATATTCAGTGATGAATAAAAGGTTAGAGCATGTGTCGTATATTTTCATAAGATTTCTATGAATATTAGACTACTCAAATTGATTTAATCTGATTTAGTTTGATTCAGTCTCTGCCACATTAGCTCACTTTATTGGTTATTCAGTAATTACTTACAAGAGTTCCCTCCGGTCCGTCAGTCAAACTTGACATCATCACCAAGGAGTGCAAATGCAGCCCAATGTCTAAAGTGGTTGTAGAGGCTTGATTTTCTCAACTTCTCTGCAGACAAATGAAGTGCCTCGCTTGCACTTTTATTGTCCCTCATCAAACTTCTATAGAACACATTCATAAATGCCTTAGTAGCGGCGTCGTCCACAGGCCACAGGGTCATCAGAACCGATCTGGCACCGGATCCAAGAAAGGCTCGTGATATCCCGACAACTCCCTCTGCTGTCAGGACCTTGCCACGTCCAGTATTGCAGCAACTCAATACCACTAGTTTGGCCCTTATTCCCACTTTTGCTATATCCTCCATCCTTAGCAAGTAGTCTTCCATTCTGGCAATCTCATCTGTGCGCTTATTTGGCGTCAGGGCAATTTCTCCTCTTTCTGCGTCTCCGTGAGCGGCGATGTGCACCAAACTTACATCCTGGATCCTTTTTAAGACCTCCTCTTTAGTAGCTTGCTCTCCAATAAGCTTTAATATTGGTGCCGTCACGTAACGGGATATCATATCAGCTTCTGTTCTGGCATTCGGAAGAGGTTTTAAATTTCCAACCTTTCCTTCAAACTCTACGCTTTGAACAACTGGATCAGCCACGATCAACGTTCCAGTTTGGGCATGGTATTCTTTAGGTGAGTCTTGAATGACCAGAAGGGATGTCAGAGAAGGAATAAGCCGAATGCGCTTAGTTTCTGACAAGCACTTTCCATCGGAATCTTTCAAGGCTGCAAAGGGGATCAAAAACATATTTCCCTCAGGGATGATGACAATCTCTGGACCATTGATAAATTTGAGGATAGGCCCAATTAACAGGTCGTACAGTTTCATTAAGTTAATATCTCTTTCTTCTTCCCCTTCACCACGAAGGTAATACTGGTCGCCTTCATCGCTTTGTTCCTCCTCTGTCGTCGATGATTCCTCTTCATAGAATGCGGCAAAAGACCGATCTTCGTATTCTTCTTCGTCGTCTGCAGGTAAGAATGTTAATGTCTTTGACACCAAATCTTTCAAAGCGGGGGCATCAACCACCCCTCCTTTCAAAGGAATTGGTACCAAATCATCTAAAGAGGGAGTATCAAGCTCTGGTTCTTTCATACTGGCATTGACGCTTATCTTCCCGTCCTTGTCTATGACCCAGAGATAGACGTGTCTAGTTATGACACTCATGAAGAGGAAATTAACTTGCTGGCTCTCCACGAGCCTTGAAATCGAACTCAAAGTAAATTCACTTGTGTTCTCGACTTCTTGTATGCCAAAATTGACTGACATCAGATCAACAAGTGCACGAGCTCGTCCTTTTTCTGCTGCACAAAGGGCATCCCCCTTTTTTCCAAGGTTGAGTAATAACAAGGGAAGTCCTTTATAAAACGAAATTCGCTGCTCGTCTAATGAGAGCTTGTATTCATCTTTGAGAAATTCTCTGATGCTTTCGTGGCCTTTTATGCTTTCAAAGAAGTAGTCTGATGCTTTCGTGAAGCTATCCTGATGAAAATGACTGACTCCTAGACTGTAAAGGATTAAGTGTTCTTTGTCCTTAAGCCCAGTTTCTTTAATGATTTGAAGTCCCATCTCTAGGTATCTGATAGATTCTTCATACTGCCCAAGTGCGAAGTAAACGTTTCCAAGGTTGACATAGGTGATTCCCTCCCCTTTTTTATCTTTAATCTCTGTCCTGATTTTAAGAGCTTTCTTGTGGTAATCCAAGGAGACGTCATGTTGGCCACGGGCATTGGCTATACTACCGAGGTTATTGTATGATAAGGCCTCCCCTTCTCTGTCGTGGCTTTGGATACAGATGCTGAGCGACTTTTTTTGATATTCTGTGGCTTCTTTGTACTGACCAAGGTCACGGTAAATACCTGCTAGGTTTGTGTAGGATGAATATTCTCCACTCTTGTCTTGAATTTCGTTCTGGATTTTCAACGCTTCTTCGTGATATGTTTTTGCCCTCTCATGCTGACAAAGGGTTTGGTACACAATTCCAAGGCCATTATAAATATTTGCCTCGGTCCCTCTTCTCCCAGCTGCTTTGCTTAGCTTCAGTGCTTTTTCAAAATACACAATGGACTTAACATATTGTCCAAGATTCAGGTAAGTGCCTGCGAGGAAATTATAAGCACTTTCCTCTCCTAGTTTGTCGCCGGTTGCTATCCCAATCTCCATTTCTCTTTCGTTTTGCCTAATTGACGCCTTCGTTTCAATTTCAGGACTATGGTCCTCGTATCTGTGGGCAATAATCATTCCACACTTCTCTTGATTTTCAATGGACTTTTCATAAAGATCGAAAACATAATACACACACTGTGCGATTTCTTCAGATTCACCTTCTTCTGGTCTTTCTCCAAACTCCTCCTTGATTTGTTCTGCTTTCTGTTGGTACTTATCAGCTTCATCCTTTCTACCCAGTGCATCAGATAAGGTGTATAGCTTCTGGTAGAGTGTCCTTTGTTCTTTCTTGTCCCCCATTTTACTGCTTAACTCCAGACCTTTCGTGTAATACCCAATGGCCTTTTCCCCTTCGCCCGTAAGATTGTATGCTGTACCAAGGTTTTTGTA